TGGATGGTGGGGCAGGGTCTGCAGTGGCACCTTCAAAAAAGGCTGAAGTTTGAGACGATCCTGTGATGGAGATGAACAGCTCTTTGTTGGATGTGTAAACTACTGAACAGTCCAGGGTGAGTAACCATATATACGTCATTCAATCTGTCGGAGAAAAAGCAAAAGCGGAAGTGAGTCTTTCTTAGCAGTTTAAATTTGCCTGGGAGAGGAAGAAGTGTATGCTTTGGGCATGATCTGCTCCTGAACTTCAGATTGAAAATCTCCAATATGTGTAACAATTTGGCAGTACCTTTGCACATGCGCAGTAGCAAATGTGTGCACATTGTCAGTGATGATAGTGTCATGATTCTACCCCATCCACTTCCTGCCACATGCTCTTATTCTGTAACTACTTCCTGTCCCCAGCTCACCCTGACTCCCAGGAATTTCATATCATCAACCACATTGGTATCACCTGCCACTCAATCATTCACACCTGCTCACCACAGCATATAGCGGCTCCTCACTCTGTGGGGAGCTGCCAGATTGTTCTATGCATTGTCTAGACTCTCCAGCTCTTTTTCTCTCAGTGCCTGATTATTCTGATACCGACACCCTGCCTGTTCTATTGACCCAAGATACTGCCTCATCCCTTTTGTTGGACTGCTCTCCTGGTAATGATACCTCGCCTGTACTACTGACTAGAGAGTGCTTTGCCTTCCCTGCTGCCCTGCTGGAGACCCCGACCGTGGACCGAACTAAGCATTACTCTCTGCCTGATCCATCCAGACTATTTCTGCTCCGATCTGATTCTGTTCCAGAGAAAGACATTAAACTCTGTTCTGCTGTCCCTGCTTACTGGCTCTTTAATTGGGTTCTCACCTCCACCTTCACGGGAGCTCCACACACACCTCCCTGACAGATACGTGTGTTTTTATGTGTGTCATTTAATTAGATTAATATTATTCTACCATATGATGTTCCCTCCTGTTTTGTAATCATGCACATATCCCATTCTCTCTGTGTTTGTGTTAGTTTAAAGCCATGCAAGAGTTAATTCCTGTTGTTCAAGAGAGCAGTAGGCCTTTTGACACCGGATGGTCCCCATGTGCATCCACCACAAGGATCAAGGGCAGTGGAGCAAGTGCATGGAGGGCCTGGTGGGTCTGTTCACCTGCCCGAGTCAGCACATAGGAAAGGTGCATCTCAGCAGCCTATTACACGCAGGCAGGGATTACTGAAAGCACAGAATGATACTGATTGATAAATTTCTTCCTGGTTTCAGCCTTTTAGGTGATAATAAACACCCACGGGAAGCTATTTGAGACAGATAACAAAGTGCTGAAACAGATAGGAAGAGAGCAGCTGCCACCAAAATACAGGATCTAGTGTCAGTGCCCTGTGGTAAAATGCCTACATAGACACCTGGCCTGAGTGTTTAGGGATAACTCTGGTTTATCACAACTTGGGGTCTCAGTATTGAAGTTTACGGTCTAATTTCTGTCAGGTATAACCCCTGTGGCTAGATTTATTATAACACTATGTTCATAATAAGTAATAATAATGCATTTAATTTATAGAGGGCTTTTCATGATACTCAAAGATGATTTACAAATTAACAATGAAAAGTAGATGCATAGACAAACAAAAACATACACCTACACACAAGAACTGTTAAGCAGGCAAATAGAAGTTCACAAATACAATAAAAGGAAAGGAAGAAAAACTATTGACAGTTTGAGTAATGACTCCTCTGCTAGCTATCATTTTTTCCAATTAAGTTTGGCTAACCTAAGGGTCTGATTAATGTCTGTATGACTGCTTGTGTTTCTTCCCACATTTAACTTCTTTAGTGATATCACAATACCTTTCAAAAGTTTGGGGTCACATCCATTTTTCCAGCTATTATTAGTGCAATTGAACAGCTGAGCACACTTGTGTTCTTTCTACAACAGAAATCAAATATTGTTCGAATAGATACTGTTGCAGAAGTTCCCACAGATGTATTGCACTTGTATGTTGCTTTGCTTTCGTCTGGAAAGTCTAGACACTGCGCTGCCACTCCATCATCTGAAGCTACTGTCTTGGTATTTTCCTCTACACAGCCTGGAGGGATTTTGTGTATGTCTGTGTGTGTGTCCTGGTATAGTCTGAAATCCTGAGAAGGTCTGACTTCCTTTGGTAACTGCCTGTTTCTAAATAACGCTTCATAGGACACTGTCTTTGTACAGAATTGTATACAATTTGTGGCCATAAATAATTGACAAAAGTTAGGACATGTGTTAGGAAACAGTTTGCATCAATTGTAAAGGCTTCATGTACAGTACTTCCAATGCAACAGAAAAGATGGAAGTTAACCTATTACTTGATCCCTGAAAAAGGCCCCTTTTATACAACATTTGCATACAGTTTTAATTTTTTGTGACTTTTTTGGTTTACTTGTTTTAGCTCTGGCATTTACCTTTTAGCTTTGTGCCATTTCAGGTTATTCACTGGACTTGAGCTGCTTATATGGCAAAATAAAGACTGGAAAAATGAAGGTGACCCCTACCTTTTAAACAGCAGTGAACCTCTTGTAGTAAATGGGACTGATTACTTAACCCATACTTAACTTGTCTGCTGTTTGATTCTGCACAGGCACAATGAGTTTCACCAACAGCTGCTGCTGGAAACAAGGTTGATATGATTGGTCAGAGTGCAACCAAACAGTTGCATGCCATGAAATGGAAACAATCAACTCAGCTGAGCTCAGCTGCTTCCCTAAAAACATTTTCCAAAAGAGAAGAAGTCATTTTCTTATTGTTAATAAAAATATTCATTGGGGCAGAACAGAGAAAAGAAAAAAGCAGGACAAGGTGAGAATAAGAACCCATCACCATGTCTTTTTGTGAATGTAAAGAGAAAAAAGCAGGTACCCCAACTGTAGAGGGATACAGAGGGATAATGCAGTTCTGTGATGTTGCTCCCAGCTTGCTAGGTACATTTAAGGCAGTGGATGGTGTGTGTACACCGATAAGCTTCTTCCAGGAAGTCATGTGTTTCCATGGTTGGTAATTACTTGTCCTGGAAACTGACCAGGGCAAGAAACAAATCTAGACATGTATGGACTGGATAATGGAGGATCTAGAGGGATGAAGACTCTAGCTAGTGATAGAAGTGCCACACACAAGCATGAATGTGCATACACATGGAAACACCGTTCCTTAATATACCTGGCAACAAGCAGAGAGACAGGCATTTGAAACTGGAGCTTTCTCCTCAAACTCCTGTTAGCAGATCCTGCAGCCGAATAAATTTTCCAGCCTTGTGTTTTCTACACCTTATGTAAGGTATCCCCATTCTCTGCTTCTCTAATACTTGTAGCACTGTGCAGCCATTGAGCTGCTGGGTCTGAATACTTCTGATACTCCATATCTATCCTCCACCTTCCCAGTCCCTTCACAAAAACTTGTTTTAATGAAAATACATTCCTGAATTTGTTGGATTTAGCAGATTTTCCTCCCACTCTCATCTCTCCTTCTCACTCCAAGATTGCTGAAGCTCCAGCTGGAACAGAGGTGGCAGCAGCCCATTTTAAGAAGTGCTGATGCCAGAATGCTGAGCATTTCTGTGTGCATTTAGGGATTGAGAAATGCATCCCTAACCAGCTTATAGAGAGAGACAGAGAGAGGGGTAGAAAAAGGTAGACATGTAAGAACAGACTGGCTGTTAGAAATTAAGAAACACAAGGGACAACGAGAGAGAATGAGGAGAGGAATACTCCAAGGTTATATATTTTACATTCACTTTCAATGCAGTTTTATCTTGGTAAATTGTGAAGCCTTGTCAATACCAAGATAAGTGAAGACTTTTCAATCCTACATGTGGACACTCATATTGAGTAGAGCATGAACCTGGTTTGTCTGCTCAGCTTCATGTTGATTCAGAGCTCCAACTACTGTAAGCATCAAGATGTCAGTTCATATGTTTAGTCATGAAATTTGGGTTGTTTCATCATGACCAACAAAACTATGACTACTATGAATGCTAATTTTGTTTTAAAATGCTCTCCATAAAGAGTTCATGAAAAGTGAAATTCATATTTAGTGAGTCATGCGCGACATTGCATATATCACAGTTCTTCCAAAGTGTGTAAGAGGTGACATATGGTGACAAAATGATAGGATCCAGATCAACCCACAGACATTCCCAGACTACAATAATCCACAGCAGATGACTCCTGACACACGTGTGCACCATGAGGACGGTGGCTTTGATGGGAGCCACTGTGGCCACACAACCATGATTGTTATTTCCCTGCACACCGCTGCAGTTTGTGATGTTTGTGTAAATATCACTATCATGGACTGCAAGTGAACCCTTCCTAAATCTGCTTTAAAAGCACATCAGTGCATTTAGTGAATATTCTGATTAAAACTCAGGAAAATAAAAAGTCACATCATCAACCAGTTGGCAGCAATATTCCTTTTGGTCGTGAGGAGTGACAGCAGCTAAGGAAAGAGCAACATGTAAAGCCAAACCACAGCTCTCTCCTTCTCACAGCTGCTAAACATGGTCCCTCACCCTTTACAAACACCACAGAATCCATCCATCCATCCTTTGCCTCATCCGTCTAATCATTTGCACTTGCCAGTCCTCAAAACCTCATTTGCAGGGATCAGCATGTTAAAGTGGTGACCTACACAGCTGTGAGTGGTGGTGGAGTCCTTTTATGAGCATTACTGTGCTTAGTCTGACAGGCCAGAGGTCTGTGAGCAACCACTGGCAAAACAGAGGAAGCTGTCATGAATAAGTCTGCTCATGCTAATTGAAAACAAAGTGTTCTCAAAAAGAGGAATCTTATGGAATTCAGAATATAATAAAAACATGAAAATGTAACAGAATAGCATGAGCAATTGGAATAAAGAAAGAAAAAATTCATGAGCAAAATGAATATGTTTGAAATGGACACTCAGATTATATGCTATGGTAGCTTGGTGACTGAACAAGGAGAGGACAGAACATCATTTGATGTTTCTCACTGTTGACTGTGGCCCATTGCGTCTGCTCAGACAGTGAAGAGTCCTCCATTTCTCAAGCTGTCCCTTGTCATCTCTCAGCGTCCTTGACTCTCCACTTCAGGCAGATCTCGGGCCCCATGGGAACCCCGGGCACTGCCGGCTGAGCCACCTTGTTGACAGCTTTTTCCCATGGTTGGCCACCGACACCTTGCTTTGTACCCTGGAACAGACAGAAAGAACACATCACCCCTGAAGGTAAGCGTGGGAACATTTCATCATAGGGAGCACAGGTGACAACGGTGGTTGAAGACAGGTAGATGTATTCTATTATTCACACCCCAGCAAGGGCGTCAGATCTCCCTGGCAATCGCAACAGAGGCCGGTGTCAGAGGTGACATCAAACAGACAAGGGCTTGGTGACAGCTGCAGACTATGCCACTGTCAAGGTAATTCCCAGGTGCCCCGATAAGGATTTTTACTCTGGAGCCACCAATGGGAGCAGTAAGGTCACCTGGCAACACAGGTCAAAGCTTTGATCCAATCAGAGGAAAATCCAGCAGGAAGGGCATTTATAAGTGCAGTGTAGAGGGAAATCATTGGCTGTCATATTGTATCTTAGAAGCAAATCATGGAACTAAAGGGAAGCAGGCAGCAGCAGCAGCCCCATCATTATTTAATACACATTTTGCTTTAGATGCTTCTAGACTAAAACAAAGTGGAAACAAAAAAGGGCCCATGATAACCATTATTATCAAACTGCATACTTTATGAGGGCCCCTCCAAGTTAGAAAGTCAATTGGTGGTTATGTATTCACGCAGGCAGTGAAAAGGCACTGAGAGAGTGGCCCTCAAGGTTGACCCCGCACGCTTTGAACTTTTTCTCCTCCCCCCCCCCTTCTGTCTATCGCTTTCTCTTTTCTTCCTCGTCTTTCTGCCTGCACTTGGTCCCCGGGAATGAATGCTTTGATTTGTGCCGTCCAGCTGCATAAGTAAACCACATTACATTTTAGGAATGTAAATAGCAGAAAGTGCTTTTGTGAAAAATTCATTGGATGCTCCCGGCTGGACCACATAATTATTTAGAGAGCATATGTAAATACCTCTTACAATTATGAAGGAATGCATACAATTTCCCTTTCAATGTCCTAACCAGTCATTTGGTCTGGAGATAGCAGGTCACAGAGGCTGAGAGGGAAACTATAGAAACACTGTGCACCGTGGCAGTGACAGTTAGGGAGGGGATCTGTCCAAGAGTTCCAAGAGCTTGTGTCCATTACTGAAGTGTTTTATATATACAGTATGTATATGCTGCAGACATGTTATTTTATCACTGCAGCTAAATACCATTAGTCAGGGCTCTAACGTATAATTTTTCAGAACAGTCAGCAGAAGGCATCGTTATTCCCCTTCCTGGCTAAATAGGCACATTAAGCTGGAAAACATAGGTGGGTTTGTGCATGTTAAATATGATTCCCAGCAGGACAACTCTAATATACACATGATATGCTGAGCTGTGTTTCACAAAGATATTGTGTATACTTCAACTGCACATCTGCCATATGCTGAAACATGGCTGTGCTCAGATCAGCTGCCATCACTCATCACTTCCTCCTCTCTATGACCTGCACACACAGACAGGGCTGACTTCCTGTCTGTCTGGAAGATCGTCTGTCTCTGGGGAAGGGGACATGTCTGGAATGACAGGACTGCTCTGTGTATGTGTGTGTGTGTGTGTATGTGTAGTCATCTATCTAAAGTACCATAAACAATTACCTTCACTTTCAAATATTGAGATAAATCTCTTTTCATGTCCTCGACTATAGATTCTGTTGTTATGCAGATAACAAAGGTACAGACCCTGTATTCCACCACCATCCCTATGATAAAATATAACAATGCTGACAACCATACATGTCCTCAGCCAATATCCCCAAGGGTAGGCTGATATGTGAATATGTGGCTGGTGTGATCGCTTTCTGTCACACAGCAGTGTCTTCTCCCAAGACAAGAGATTGGTGACAAGACACAAAAACACACCCAAACAATACACTGTGTTACTGAGGCAGCGATCGAGGAATAATAATTAATGGCGAGCATGCAGCGAGACAAACATGCTCTCTAAAGCCTGGCCTGCTGTCCCTCAAGGGACAGCATGGGGCTTCAATTAACTGACAGGTGGGCGTATTAGAATTTCTATCGTGGGCACTGGAGGACTAGTGAGATGCAGGACTACAATGCTTTGAAAACCAGTGTGGTTTCCCCATCAAACACGTCCTCTAGGTCCTTTGATGTGTTGGGTGGTATGTGTCCTTGGAGATCTGTGTCTACTTCCTCAAAGCTCCTGCCAGCACCTCATTTTCCTGCACTGAGTTTTAGAGTTACAGCAACGGCAGGCTCAGCAGAATTCACTGTTAGACAACAGAAGCAGAACGTCCACATCATGTGTCACCAGGTGAGTTTTAAACATGCATGATGCTAAATACAGCAAGCAGCCCATGAATATGTGATATGACCATCTAGCTGCTTGGATAAATGCAGTTTGTTAAACTTCCTGACCAGGTAGCTACCCCTTTTTGCCTTGTGTAATACCACTAATAGGCTTTTTTCATTATAGGAACCTACCTAAATGTGTCTAGCCGAGTAACAATGGTCACGGGTCCTACGCTTGTTTCCGTTGCCCTCTGCTCACTTTGGAGATTCCGGGAGCTAAATTTCAGCTCCTCTCAGGAGGTAGCAGTAAAATCAAGTTCCAGGAACACAATGGAGGAGGGGGTGGGTGCATGCACAGCAGTCACCCGTGACTGGTTAAATGTTGGGATCTTCACATTTGAAAGTTTTGCATTATAAGCACCGTGTGTAATCATACTTGCTGATTTAAAGGCAAAAGGGGGACTTCAGTGAGTGGACTGTGGGCAAAGAGAAGAGGATGTCACATTTCTGCAAGTTTGTGTTCTGCTTGTTCAACAGCTGTTTGATAAGCTGCTCATTCAGTCTCTGTTACTGGCTGAGTGCTGTACTGTGGAGTGATCCTTCACGTCCTGTGCCTGCTCCTTTTACACACAAATACACACACGCAGCTAAATTGCCCTCTAAACAGAGACTGACACAGAAAATACCATGAAAAGCAAAGTAGGACAGTCTGCGTCAACTTGTTAAAGTTAAGGGAAGCACGAAGTGTACCACTTGTTAGGTTCCAATAGTGGAAAAGCAGCTTAACTTAGCGTGGCTCCAGACCTGTTGAATCAGACTGTAACATGTAATCCTGATATTATGTGCACTGATGGTGTTTCAGCCAGCTGAAGAAACAGCTGACCAATAAGAGCTTTGTATGCAAGATTAAGAATGTTGATGAATCTTTCTTCAGAGCAAGGTAAATGCTTTTAAAAGACTGACAGCTGTACAGGTTGCTGCAATTCCAACTATAGAACTAGTAACTTTCTAATTTCTGGTCTATGGGAATGAAATTAAATGTCCATAGCAACGGCAGCCTTTGTCTTAACTGAAAATAAAGCCCACAGGAAGGCTTGATAACATGTTATGAGTAGTTAGGGCATAACAAAACAAATAAAACCTTATATCAACAAGAAACTGGCTAACATGAACACAGTGTCAAACTGAATAAATGTAAGTAAAATGAAACTGCAATTCAGTCTCATTATCAGGCTACCTCTAACTTTCCTTTCATGCAAAAGTAGAAAGTGCTAAACTGAACTGAGCAAGGCCATTATTTTGAAATTGCACTCATTTTCCACATGAAATTCAGTTTGTTTGCAATACAAATAATGACTGCAGTACTGTGCTGACATGTCCTCTTAATAGACAGCACGGCTTCACTTTTTTGCGTAGTCTTGGTCCCACGTATGCTGCCAACCATGACATAAATCCAGTGGCATTCTAGCACCGATAACAGACAACAGTTATGAAGGCGGCAATTTTACTAAAGAGGCTGTCTTTGGTAAAATATTTCAAGCATGCAAAAACATATGAAGATGGAGATAAGTCACAAAATACATGTGTGATTTCTCATATTCCAATGTAATTCATTACATAGTTAACTGCTCTGTAAGATAGGCATGCTTTATGCAAGGTGCTTGATCTACACTTTACTTCGGGCAGCCCTTGTTTATGTATTTTTCTAAAACACATGTCAGCCCTGCTACAGTCCATTACAAAGTATCAAGTGTGATAGGTGATGGAGCAAAAGCCAAGCAGCCTCTGTGCCTCTGCCAGAACCCTGATGTCAGCAGGCGTTCTCACCACCCAGCTCTCCCTTGAACTACTGGGTCAGTTTCCTGTCAGGCCCTGACATAATATGGATGAATGCTCCATCTCACAGCGCTGCCTCCCAGTGGTGTTCAGGTTACATTCCTCCCAGCTAAAGCCCTTGGCCCTCCCCAGCCACAGCAGATCTGTAAACTGTTTACACTTCACTTCCCACACCTGGAAGAGGGCCAATGCAAACCTGGAATGAGGCCCACATGAAGGAACCAAAAGATAGGCCCCTAGATTTCAACAGGAGAGGAGTGATTGTGTGTTGGGCTGGAGTGGAGTACTGACTCACCGCCAGCACCAGGACACTTTCTTTTTCTCTCTGCTAAAGGGAAAGTACAAGAGGAAGTTTGAATTGCAAACAGATCCATGTGTTCAACAGCCTTTGTGTTCTCATCACATAAGTATCTCCTCACACTGAGTGTGTTCATAAACTACTTGTCTGAAGTACTAGTACTAAAAACAGCTTAGATGGGAACATTTCATTCATGCTTACTTTTTTTTGTATTTATGTGTATGCTTTGAAATAAAAAAAAATGTATTGTTGCATTTGTACACAATGTTTTTTATTCCCACTTGCCTCTCACTCTGACTGTGAGTTCCTTGGAATCAGAGCAGCAAATCTCTACTCTGGTGTATGTCACCTGAGTCCTGGTGAGGGTATCATAGCTAACTTGTGCTGAAGCCACACACCACTTCTACCATGTCAATTTTCATGCAGGCTACACCTCATGTAAATGCAAGTCCAATGCCTGACATATTGAGCAATTGTGATGTAAGTTTAAGACAGAGAGGAGTCCTTTCCCCTGGCGTTCACAGTGAAGCTCTTAGAACTAGGAAAACAGGCAGCTGAAAAAATTAAGAAAGACCAACTGCATGTGCTTCATAATAATAATAATAAAAAGAAAATAACTTAGCCTAAAAAGGGCAGGGGATTTCAGATAGTAGGAT